AATCTATGTATTTAACCCCTTGGTGCCGGGTGACGCCGATTGGCGTGTAAACAAAGAGCTCGAAAGCTGGCGTGCAGCCAAACGAGCCGGCGGCGAGCCAGTGATTCGGGCTGATGTTCCCTACTCACATGCTCAAAGTCAGCCCGCCGCCTTTGTTTGTTTAAGCGTAGAGTTTTTTTTTTGTTTTGTACACCCGGCGCCATTGGGTTAAGTAGGAATGTTGCCTCTCTCCACTCATTTTTTATAATTCTAATTTAGTGCAAAAATTCTCTGATGATGTTCACCTTTAAAATAAAACAAATAATTGACCCTGGGCTATCCACTACTGATACTCCACCAAAATCTTGTAAACTGTATGACTACAACTATAAAATATTGTAGATTCTTCTACATGACTACAGCCATCTTTTAAGGCAGCAAAAAGGATGTTGTGTGACAATCAGGCCATCAAGTTCTATCATAATAGGAATGATCACGATTGACAGGTAACTGCTTTACTGTACTGGTTATTTTCTAATATCATGTAGTATTTTGGAATATAACATCCAATATTTTGCTATATAATGAACAGGGGTTTTATGTTTAAACATTTCATAATATATATGGAATAATAGTTCTAAATCTCTGATTATATCTAAACTATGATCTAAACTATTTCACTTAAAAGCCTATTCAAAGTTGTGCATGCTATACAACTGCTATACTAAACATTTAAACATTTGCGTGAATGCTTGGTTCAGGCTGCATTAGTTTGCGAAGAAATAGCCCCTGTACCCGTATCTGCCAGCCACGCCTGTAGCCATCATAACAAACTGACTCATTATGGCAGGTACGGCTATAGGTGTCACAATGCGCTAGAGTGTGCCAAGTAGATAGTTCCACTACATGTAGCGGACTCCCAGGCCAAACAGCAGGATGGCTGCCAGAAGCATCCAGAGTCAGTGACACAGAGATTTCTGATACTGTCATAGAGGGATTAAAAGTAAGCTTAAAGCTCATAACCTACAAAAAAAAAAAACTGTCTTCATCCTGATGCACTGGCACTGAGGGTTTCTTATCATGATTGGGTTAAAATTGCATGTTGATCTATCAATGGCGTGCACTAGCTGTTACAGCACCACAAAGCCAAATCAGAATGCTCTTGCTAAGATAAGCTTTTAATTAGAAGGCATCAGTATTTACATCTATAGATCAATTTTATAATCTTATATGGCAATAAAGCTTTCTGCCTTCCTTTGTAACCCATAGTCACAAGGATAAGTAATAATCAATGTAGTTTTTGTTTTGAGATATATGTATAAATATAGATGACTCCAAAAGTGCTCAACCACTAAAGACTCAATTAGTAAGCTTACATGACCTCACCTGATTTCCACTTGCCTTATATTCTTAGGATTTTTTTTTCTAATATTACTATTGATACTATTATTATTCTCACTGACATCATTATTTTTATCTGATCAACAATACCAAGAGCACTGTAATATAAAAACGGCTATTTCTAAAAGCCAAGGAAAAGGGTAAACAGATGAAATAGGTAGGACTAGTAATTGACTATCTGGTGACTAAGCACTTGTGCAGCCATCCATTTGTAAAAATAATTAATAAACTAAACTCACATTCAGCATGCTATGTACATACATGGCATCCCCAGTGACAATGGGTTAATCATGTCATAAACCTGCATCTTAATGACAACTTTGGGAAAGGTTAAGATGAACACAAATAAAAATGCTAAAAATAAAACACACACACACACACGCACAAAAGAAATTTCATCCCTACTACACACACCAACAGCCAATTGCCCACAAAAATGTGTATAAAATGTGTATAAATGTAACTGAAAATCTGTTGTAAGGCATAACTAAAAAAAAAAATATGTTGGATGTTGGAAAAAAATAATTGTTAAATATGGGCACAGTTTATATTCTAGAGTGACTTTTGACATAAAAATTACATATGTATGTGCATTTTATGTACTAAAAATTCAAATGCCCAAATATAACATTTCCAACATATAATGCATACTTCTAACACAATGCAACATATAGAGGATTGTAACTGCATACTGTGAAACGTGTAATATTTTGTTTCTCTGTAGTTTTAAACTGCACAACAACATATTTTGTGCTAAATATGAATCTTGTCCTTATCATCACCTTAATAGTTTTCATGTCTATAGGCCTACATTTGAATTCTCTAGTACTGCATTCTTTTGATAAACAATTTTCACTTAGAGCAACCAGCCAAAATCTCTGCCATGATCCTACATTAAAATCAGCAAGTTAAGATCACAATACTGTACCAATACTGCACATTTCAATGTCATTCACTCTTGAGTATTTTATCACATAATTTAATCTATACAAGACTAGAATTTCTAATGGTTTCTTACTTCAGTATTTGCTTTCAACCTAAAATTTACAGTTCACTTTTGGGAGAACTACAAGTGTTATGATCATGTACTTCCCCATGAGCTTCCCTTAGAGATATTCATCAGTGAGGTTTTCTTCCCCTTAACCCAACACTGATTAGTGAAAAAAATCCCTGAGAATTTTAAACTCTAGAGATTTCTGGCAACGGGCAGAAACTGGGTGCAGAAGTCTGCTACAACAAGCCAAACGTCCCGCTCCAAGTGCTCTGGAGCATCACCATGCATACTGAAGTACCCAGCAGACAGTGCAGTTTGTTATGACGCTGATAGGCATGGCCCATCAGCAAGGTTAATGCTGTATTAAGATAACTATAATTTTCTTATCTAGTACTGTTCCTGTATTAGGGACTCTATAAATAAAAATTGCCACACAAGTTTGACTTGGAACATTTCCGTCAAATTTTTCCCTATTTGAAATTTGCCTACAGATTAGCAGTTCCCACTTAACAAGGTACTGATAGCGACCTGGTCTTTCTAAAGGAAGGTGCTACTATAAATGGTATACACCCAACTCTTTCTTCAACCCCTTGTTCGTGGGTGGCATCTACTATGATACCCTAGCAGCATAGCGCCAATGTCACGGGATGCAACCCGACAGATACAGCCCATACAGATGTAACCATTTGGCGGACTGCATAGCCGCCAAAAATGCCTGCACACATTGGGTGGCATGTACATACATACCATGCCCATTGTGAATCGTTTAATGATTGTCTTTACATGCAGATGGCTCCACAATGTCACCAACGACCCAATTGCAAGTACTACCTATCTAACTCATTTACACTTTTCCTTGACTTTTGGAAATGTCTTCTGGTATCTTATACTGCTGTTGCTAATGCTAATAACACTATAAGAATTATGTTATTTAATTCCAACAGCATCAACACTGACAGCATTAAAAATCTGTCAAACTCAAGGAAAGATGAAATCAGGTGAGATCACAAGGTCTACTGACTGACTCTTTTGTGGCTAAGCCCTTGGGGAGCCATCTGTATGAAGAGACATGTCACAAAACAATACTGCAGTGAACATTACATTTTCCAGCAATGATGGGTTCATACCTATCATACCTGATTTGAATTGGAAATCAGCTTTTCAAAGTTTTTTAGCAAGGGAAGTAAAACCTGATTTCCTTAAATTAACCCCAATACCAATTCAAACTGTGCAAGTATCCACGGCAGCCGATCTTTCCCAACTTCAAGTAGGAAAATGTGTCATAATATCCTACATCTTATCTACAGATACAAAAACTTTAGGAATTTCTAATTAATTTATTACTATTCTATAATGTTACAATCCCTTCCTATCTTTTTTTCTAATTAGGCCTGATGATGGACACATGCACTTTCCACTTTTTTATTACTTCTGTTTACACAGAGATGCCTTCACAAGAATATATTACTAGGCTTAATTATTTCACCTATTCAAATCATTCCTTTAACCCGTTCCTACCAGGTCACAAGTATAGCCATCATAACAAACAGTGTGGTCTGCAGGGTACAGTTATACACATGGCGACATGCTAGAGCGCATCAAGTGGGAAGTTCTGCTAAATGTAGCAGACTCCTGCACCCAGTGGCTGGACATTACCAGAGAGATTTCTAATACCCATCACTCATGGGTTAATTTTCAAGCAAAAAGCTTTTCTTCTATTACTATTAGCATAATCATTTTTGTTATCATTATTATCATATAATGTTATCATCATCATCATGATCACGATTGCTGCTATTACTATCATTATTATTATCATAACCTTTATCTTCATAATTATTATAATCATTATTATGACCATTATTACTGTTACCATTAATATTAACAATGGTAATTAGAAAAAAGCATTAGTCATGAAAACACAAGAAATGGAGGAAATAGGTTTGGTAAGGAAGTTTTGGTCATTGACTATTTGGTGGCTAAATATTTGTGGAGCAAGCTATATGTAAAAATAAATAAAAAAAAATAAAACAAAACCAAGGAAAACAGTGAATGTAAACATGCATGCCCAGCAACAATGGGTTAATAATCTAAAGCTTCATTACTATTTACTTGCCTAATTAAGAACAACCACTTGTTTATATCACTTCCATTACATAAAGATGATTCATCATTCAACTATATAAAAATAGAGCTAGCTCTGATCAATCAACTATATTAAGCAAATGATCAAGGAAACCTACTAGGATGAAGAACCACAGCAACAGGCAAGATCAACAAAATGAACAAAGTGAAAACCTATCTAAAGGGCCATTAGCAATCAGTGCTGACTTTTAGAATAAACTGAAAAAAAGGATAAATGACCTGCTCAGATAATCTGTACATTCCTGCTAAGTCTATGAACAGGACTGATCAGCCCATTCACTTTTGTATCTATTAGTCAAATTGATTATTCTCTCTAATCTAAACTGCCCTTTTTAATGCATGTATGTGCATAGACATGTATGTACAAATCTACTAGTGTATTCAAGAACAAGACCATGTAAAAAATTATGAAGGTGCATAAACCTTCACACAATAAATACATGCTTTCTCTTCCCTCCCATCTGCAATCCACTGTTTGCTATCACTTTTCCCTAACATCTGTATACAAAAAAAAGCCTTAAAAAAGAAACAGACACATGTGCATGTGTTACCACCCTACCACCCTCCCACCCACACCAACACACAGGATTTGAGATCAAGTTATCTAACCAAATTCATAAACAATTCTTAAAAACGAAACAGAAGAGTAACAAAAAATAAATTACTGTATATTCACTATAGTTATAACCTGAAACACTCCTTCATAACTATTTCTAAAGATAAAAAATTAGTTGGCTAACTCACCTGGTCCATTGGGTCCTGACATCATGCCCATTCCCATGGGGCCAAAGCCTTCATTCCTCATTCCTCCAGGCCCATGTGGGCCAGGTGGGCCTCCCATAATCCCAGGGTGGTTACTCGAGCCTCCTCCACCAGGTGGACCAAAGCCTGGCACTGGCACAAAATTGTTGAACCCACCAGGTCCTCCTGGCCCAACTGGACCATTGGGACCACCGGGGCCATCTGGACGGAAATTGGCTGGACCATCAGGTCGCTGGCTTTGTTGGGGGAAGCCAGGTGGAGGCCCATTGAAGGCATCAGGCCCAAATTGATCTAGGGTGTAAAATATATGAGAAGTTAGTAATTAATTCTGCTTTTCCTGAAAGTATTTAAGAAAAAAAAAATATATATATAATACAATCAGCAAATACATTTATCAAGTCTATACACCTGGCCTCCCAAAATAATTTGCAACAGGGATATTTCAATCTTTATGCTATGAAAAGATAAAAAGATGGTAAGAAGAGAGAAAGAGGCAATAAGGGAAAAGGATGAAGGCAAGTAGACTAGACCTTATAAACAATTTAATGCACATGAAAGCACTTCATTTAACCCCTTGATGACGAGTTAAGAAAACTTAAAATAAAACTCTACACTCTGGCATTCAATGGCAGCGTGCCGGCTTTAAGCGCGGGAGTTCGGTACATCAAGCCGAGGTTAAAAATAGTGGGTTTGCAAAACTTACTTGAAATGTAAAGAAAGTAATAAACTAAATACATAATTCCTCATTTCATTTATTCTTTTTTTAATATAATAATAATACAAGTAATTTCATACTTGAAATATCAAGAATAAAATGCTTTAATTAATAGATAAATAAGGTTGACAATAAAAAGCTCCCACATCTTCAAGGAAATTTTCTTTTCTTGGCAAGGAAGACAACAAAACATAATATATCATGGGCCTAAGAAATTATCAAAAAATCCTGGTTGGATAAAGTTCAAAACTGAACATTTTTAATGATATTTACTCAAACTTAAAAAACTTTGAAAGTAAATAAATGCTGTTTTTGAATAAATTCTCTTCTGTCGATGACACAGTGATCACATAGCTAAACAGTTTTAGAAGACCAAACCAAGGGACATCTAAGATGCCTTTTTTTTCCCCAAGATTTCCACAAAAATAAAATGAAGAGATTAGAGTAAGTAAGTAAGAGATTCCTAGCACACTGAGAGGGGAAAATGAGTGCATTAAACTTAACCAAGGATGACTTGACAGCCTTAGACCTTTAGTAAGTGAAAAGAAGAGATGACTTACAAAATAAGACTTTCTCTAAAGACAAACAGTTCCAAGACCTTCATACATAAGGTTAAATCAGCACAAGAACACAAATATCTTAAAGCAAGAGCGAAAATTCAAGGATATTACATGAGAAGAATGGTTCTGTATACTTTGTAACTAATGAAACAAAAAAAAAAGGCAAGCATAATATACATAACAATCTGAAGATCAATGAAAAATTAAGCATAAAAACAGGATACTGTGTTGTACTTACTGTCATCCCGTCCTCTTGCATCATCACGGTCACGGTCGCGGTCATGGACCCGATCTTCTCTGTCGTGTCCAACTCGTCCTCGATCTCTATCTCGGTCACGATCCCTGTCCCTCCTGTCTCTGTCCCTGTCATATCTATCCCGTTGGCCCATCTCGCCTCCAGAAGCAAGATTTCTTAATCGTTCAACTAATCCCATTTTCTCGTCACGCGGAGGCGATCTTCCTCCCGATCTGTCAAACCGTGATGGCCGGTCTCTTCTTCTCTCCCCGCGATCATCCTTCTCCTTAGACGACAGCCCATTCTCCTTTCTGTGTTCCAACAAATTATATAATTAGCAACAAATTTTATCAGTGAAGCAAAAGTTTCAATTACTTATTCTACACCAAGTCAAAAACGATTTACCATCAAAGAGGAATTACTTAGAATAGTGGTTCTTACCCTGGGGGGTTATTAGTAATTTCCAGGGAAGGGGGAGCCCTGGGGGAAAAGTAGGAATTCTTCTAATTACATATGCTATTCTCTCAACAAGAGCATGGCTAAAATGGAGTTTATGATCTGGTAATAAGAAGCAGTATCAACTATCACTTTAACCCATCAGTGCTAGATACATGTACTTTCCCCTAATGCTTTGTTTTATTAATTTTCATGAGCATTTAGTCACCAAGGAGTCAATTACTAAGTCTACCTGATATCATCAGCATACCTCATTCCTTGATTTTAATTATTATTACTATAATCATGAATATCATCATCTTTATCATCATAAGACTTTAAATAATAGAAGTAATAGGAACAAAATACTAGGCACTTGTGAACTTATTAACGTTTAACCTGTATCTATAGCCATCATAACAAACTGACTCGTCATGCCAGGTATCGCTATATGCATCACAAGGGGCTAAAGTGAGTCATGTGGAGAGTTCCACTGCATGTAGCAGACTCATGGGCCAAACAGCAGGTCGATTGCCAGAAGTCACCAGAGTTAGTGACACCAAGAGACTTCTGATACCGTCACTGACAGGTTAAGCAAAATTAGTAAAACTAAACCATAACAGACAGTGCAAATATACATGTACTCCTGACAGTAATAATTTAACTTATGCTTAATAAGACAGCCATATATATATATGCTAATGCATAAAAAGAGGAAATAACATTGCAAGTAGGAGACAGTCTTATCACCATGTGCATATGTTCACATGCACCCAGCCTACAAGCCACACATGTCTACTGCCCAGATTTTTTGGTCATGTGATTTCTTTGATGCAACCAGATCTTAGGGATTTAAATAGACTCTAATCACACTTCACTTTTGTGTGAACACTCCAATAATTAACCTTATACACCAATTCTCATTGTCAATATGCATACTTATAATGTTAATTCATCATAACCAATAAGTACTATAAAGCCTTCAGCTTCTCCCAAAGGCAAATTTTGTTTGTAGCTCAATTTTACACAAGAGAAAATGTATAATTCACTTCCCTATCTCAAATACCAGTGTTAGTAGAGCACAAATTTAAAAGTATTAGAAAAATGATCTTTTGTGTATGAATGACCAAGTATAATTTTTTTTTTTTTTAATATCAATCTGAAAAAGAATTCTAAGTTTAGATTACAGGATTATTTTTTTAATATCAATCTGAAAAAGAATTCTAAGTTTAGATTACAGGAGGGAATGAAGGGAAGGACCTATTCCTAGTGTGAGATGTATTAACATGACTCAGGGGAAATCTGTCTTAACCCATCCAATCCAGATGACATGACTATTACATTATGAAAAAATCTGGCTTGAGTTGTGGGTGACAGGAAAATGCCATCACAGGAAAATCTAGCTGTAGGCTGGGTGACATGAACTTGCCTCCATGGAGGACATCATTTCCATGTTTAACATTGTATTCCATGACTGGTTGTATTACAGAAAATTTATTATGATTTTTTTTTTTTTTTAAATGACATCGATAACAAAGGGAGTTGTAGACTACCTAGAGAGATGATATGGAGTCTGTACAAAGAAGACAATTACCATCTGGATAATGCAAATCAAATGATAAATATAGACATTGGAAAATGGCAAAAATGCAAAAAATGCTAATGCATAAAAAGAGGAAATAACATTGCAAGTAGGAGACAGTCTTATCACCATGTGCATATGTTCACATGCACCCAGCCTACAAGCCACACATGTCTATTGCCCAGATTCTTTGGTTATGTGATTTCTTTGATGCAACCAGATCTTAGGGATTTAAATAGACTCTAATCACACTTCACTTTTGTGTGAACACTCCAATAATTAACCTTATACACCAATTCTCATTGTCAATATGCATACTTATAATGTTAATTCATCATAACCAATAAGTACTATAAAGCCTTCAGCTTCTCCCAAAGGCAAATTTGTTTGTAGCTCAATTTTACACAAGAGAAAATGTATAATTCACTTCCCTATCTCAAATACCAGTGTTAGTAGAGCACAAATTTAAAAGTATTAGAAGAATGATCTTTTGTGTATGAATGACCAAGTATAAAATGATTTTTTTTTATCATATAAAACAATAAAATGTGTATTTTGATGTATTCATAAGTACCCCGACTTGTAAACAGTAAAAAGAGGATATTATATCAGGAGCTAACTCTGTGATGTGTAATAGTATGTATGGATATGGCATTCAGCACCACAATTACTACCTTACATTCACTAGATTTCATCTGCAAGAAGATAAAAGCAGGACAACACAAGGGGAATAAGGGTCTTGAGGGTAATATCATGAGTGTGGTTGAAGGAAACTTGTCAAACAGTTCCAGATATAATTAGAAGATTCTGATAAAACATTTTACTGAACTTTATATGAAAACCTTACTCACCCAATATCATTTTTCTCTACGTCTTCCATCTCAATATCCATATCATTTGAGTCATGAGAATTACTATTGATCATGTTAGCACTATTTGCCATGGTCGTAATAGGCGGTGCAGAATTCATATTGCTCTGCAGGTCACTTCCAGGAGGCACTGAAAAATATTTAAAAATTTTTTACCAAAATGCACTTGCTATTGTCTGTAACCATGAGAATATGACACTTTTAGGCCTAAACAATGTAATTATTTTTATTGCTATCATAGCTTAGTTATATTCAGCTCATAAATGTTTGTAGTGACATCAGAATAAGAATTACTTGAGTGGCTGGTTCACTCTAGTAGATTGTGCAACACATCTTGAACTTGATTATGACCTTTCTTAGAGTATTAACTACAAGAAGTGCAAATAAAAAGATAATAACCAAGTATACTTTAGGTAAAATAGTAACTGGCTTAAATGCAAAATCTTTCAGGAAAAAAAGATCATTTTTGTTTCTATTCCTCTCAACTATAGAAACAATAAAATCATCAAATGTGGTTCAATTAAAAGACAAAGAGGCAAAGTGAGAAATAACTTACTAATAGGCCGGTTCGGCATGTTTGGTGCCATGCTAACTGGGGGTGGCATGGCACCTATGAGAGGCTGACCCAAGATTGATGACACAGGTGGATGGACACCAAGTGGTGGCAGACCCAGAGGTGGTGGAACTCCTAGAGGAGGCATGTTTGGAGGCATTAAGCCTTGGGGTAGAGGTGGCATTCCTCCAGGACCATGTCCATGTCCAGGACCATGTCCGTGTCCATGTCCGTGTCCATGCCCATGTCCATGTCCAGGTCCATGCCCATGGCCAACTTGAGGTGCTGGAGAAGAAGATATATAAAAGCTAATTATCAACAGTAAAACTAGATACATTATCACCCTATATACAATTTGCTCATTCAAAGACAACATCAATCTCAGCTTGGAAACTGTTGATTTCAAAAGGAAATTCTTCAGTTCCTGAAATACTTTTTTTTTTGCAATTCCACAAATCATAAGTTTCAAGGTAATACAAGGTGCTGCTTCAGCACCAAGTTTGAGTAAAATGCTTTTACAAATCTAAAACGTGTATTAGTATCAAACCTGTCCCGATACTTACGAGGCATGTTTGGCAAACCAAATGGAGGAGGCAACATAGATGGAGGTAGACCTGGGGCACTAGTGGGCAGTGGGGGACCATCCCGACTAACATCTTGAGATTTCTCTACTGGCGGCGGCATTGGTGGCAGGGGGGCTACACCCTCCTGTCCTCGTGAGTTGGGAGGATGGCCAGGTGGCACTCCAATAGGTACAAAGCCTGGGGGAGGCCCAGGTGGAGCTTGTTCTAAACCATAGCGACCTGCAACGCAATGATGGCATTCACTATTTACTATAAAACTGGCAGCATTCCTGTATATGTAGTTACTTTTTCTCAATGAGAGCACATCATCAATGTTCAATCAAAAGGTTTATTCAATTTGTTCACTTTAAATCAATGAATAAATTAATTGATCAATATTCACACACATGGTATATTTCATATCCTCAATGAAATGAGACTGAAATGTTAAAATAATTTCACAGAAATAAATTCAAACAGGAAATCTCAATCTCAGGATTCAAATAGGTATTCCTACTATCAGAAATCTCAGATAGAAAAAAACCATGCTCAAAGATTTTTTTTTTTTTTTCTGCTGTACATACGTATGAACAAAACCACACAGAAATACAGAAGAGCACTCTCTACGAAAATAATTTTAGATCATACCTCTCAGCCAATCAGGAACAGTTTCCTCATCGATCATGCCACCTTCCTCGAGGTTGTCCAGGTCTAGGCTACTCATGGTGATCAACTTGTGGAATGGGATGTAGGAGCAGCCAACCTCTACCTCCCAGTAGTCTTTGAACTCTTTCCCCTTTACGCCCTTTCCTGGAGCCCAGGCAAGAGTGATGGCCTTGTTCTGTGGAAATATGATAAAATGTCTTTTGTGCAACAGCAGTGGATGGGAGAAATAAGCTGATACAAACAGGGAACTCTATTAGATATATCTAATAGTTTTTCATATGTGGATTTTATTATTATATATATATATATGTTATTTATATTATACAAATAATATATAATTATGTAAGTATGTGTGCATGTGTATGTATGTATGTATATGTATATAATTAAATATAATTAATTATGCATATATATATATATATATATATATATATATATATATATATATATATATATATATATATATATATATATATATATATATATATAATTATATATATTTTATATATATATTTCATATATATATTTCATATATATATTTCATATATATATTTCATATATATATTTCATATATTTTATATATATTGATATATATTGATATATATTGATATATATTAATATATAAAAATATATGTATATATATATATATATCATATTTATTTGTGTATGTATATATGTATATTTACAATATCTACTTACATGCATCTTGTGATTTTTGAGCTTGGCTAGTGCCCGAGCAGCATCCTGACGTCTATTCATGCAGATGAAAGCACAACCACGTGGTGGAATAAGATCAATGGAGACTATGTCACCATATTCTCCAAAAGTATCAGACAGCTCTTCTTGGTGCACAAGCTGAAAAATAAGTAACATGTTTTAATGGATTGGTCTTACCTACTACTAGCCTATAAAAGCAAGCATACTTTACAACTCATTATTCTGAAACCTTTCTTCTTTGCATCACGATTTTCTATTCCATCTCATCTACTAACCCTTGTATATATATTTCATATACAATAACTCAACAAACACAGAGAAAGAAAAAAGTATATCACATAACATGCCCTTTCAATACCAAATCGGTCTTACCTTCGACAAGTGGCCAACCCAGAGAGTTGTGGAACAGACACTCAAGTGATCCTTCTTGATGGGAGGAAGTCCTCTCTTTTTTCTCTCCTTTTCCTTCTCTCTTTCCTTCTCCCTCAGGCGCTCCTTCTCAGGATCAAGCTTCTCCTTTTCTCTCTCCTTTTCCCTGTCTCTTTCACGATCTCTGTCTCTATCCCTGTCCCGTCTGTCACGATCCCTGTCCCTGTCTCTGTCCCTTGATCTTGACCTGTGTAAAATTAATATAATATAGTAATCAGCCATTACATATAAATAAACAATTTACAAAACTATATCTAGTCAACAGAAATTCATAAAAGGTCTGGAGGGTCAGCTACATGAGCAACCAAGCATAGACTACTCCTCAATCAACAAAACAGTAGACACCAAGAGAGGACACAGAAGATACATTTGCTATGAAAACCTAGAAACCATAATTGCAAAATACAAGCAGTAACTATTGCAATATATACTAAACAAGATTCCCTCATCAACTTTCTTTAGTCAATTAATATAGTTACATAAAACATATGCTCTCACTTTACTGTAAAATTCTTTTAGAATTTAACTTCGATTTTTCATGATGAGAGACCTTTTCTTGTATATATGGCTAAATAGTTTATTGCTGAGTTTCTTTAATCCAATGGTGTTATGAAAATGTAGTGTTCACTATTCTGTTTTGTGAAATGTTTCTACACATAGATGGCACCACAATCACATGGTCATCGAAGACACTACTAGTTGACCTTGTGTCCTTGCCTGATTTCACTTTTCCTAGTTTTCAGGAAAAATGTAGTCATTTTTTTTTAACCCATTGCCAACAGGGATGTCATGTATGTCCATGCCATGCCCACTGTTTTTAAAACATAGATGGGTATACTTGTACTAAGTCACCAATGAGCCAATTACAAGTACTACCTGTCTTGCCAGTTTACTGTTTTCTTTGATTTATGAAAATATTTTACGTTATCTTATGTTGCTGTTACTAATGTTTATAACATCATAGTAATTATAAAGCTTATAATGAAAATGACACCATCGATATTCATAGCACTAGTAAAAAATATGTTTTTCCTGCCAATTCAAGGAAAGGTGAAATCAGCAATCAGTAGAGCCATCTATGTATAGATATTTCACAAAAACATAAATAATGAGCACAGCATTTTCCCAATTTTTAAATTAATTTTCCCCAGCGGCAATGGGTTAAATGATATAACAATACTAACATAAGTATCATCATAGACTTTATAATTATTATAATGTCATTTACTAATAGAAATGCAAAATAAAAAATAAAAGAAAAAGGGTAAACAAATGAGATAGGTAGTACTAGTAATTGACTCCTTAGTGACTAGTTACATGTGGACCCATCTATGCACAAAGAAAATGAATAAACTAAACTCACAAAGAGCATGGCACGTATGCACACACCATCCCCATTGGCACTGGGAATCTGCTACATGTAGTGAAACTTTCAGATCAACTTGCTCTAGTATGGTGCGATGCCTATAGCCGTACCCAACATTTATTAAAACAGATATAGGCGTGGCCCAGCAGATACAGGTTAACCCAACCACCCCAGATTTATGTTCTGTCCTTTGTAGTTTTTTGTGAATTTGATTACATACAGATGGCTCCACAGTGCTCAGTCAGCAAAGAATCTATCAGTAGGCCCTAATGACCGATAATAATTTCCCCTTTCCTTGAATTGGCAGGAAAATGTGTTTTTCTTTTAAATACAGTTGATATTGATACTTTTATTTTTGTTATTAATGTTATGATTATTAAACTGTTATTAAAATCACGATAACATTTACGACAATGAAATATTGCAAAAGACCTTTTCTAATAGTCAAGGAAAAGGGTAAACAGATGAGATAGGTAGGACTAATAACAGACTCCTTGGTGACTAAGCACTTGTAAAGCCATCTATGTGTATATATAATATTTAAACTTGTATTACACTGGGCATGGCATGTATTCTTGCCATACATGCCATTATTATGAAATAAAAATTCTTGCGTAACAGCCCTCAAATCTAAACTTACAAGTAAAAATAAACAAGGTTCTGAAAGTTTAAATATTATTTTGAAAATAAAATAAGATGTTCATATATCATTAATGAAAACATACCATACAAAGCCCCATGTCCTATGAACAAATAAGTTACTAAAAGCAACCAGTAAAGACAAAAAAACACAAGCTAGACAAATGCACAAAAGCTGCACCACAGCTGACCTCCTCCTGCGTGATCTAGAGGATGACCTTCGACCTCTGGAGCGTGATCGCGACCTTCTGTGTCTAGACCTAGACCGGGACCTTGAGCGTGATCTGGATCGTCTTCTGCGTCGTGACCGGCTTCTAGACCGTGAACGGCTACGACGGCGTCTGTCTGAATCGCGGTCCTCATGGCGACTGTAAAATAATAGAGCACCTATGAGTGCACAAATACGGAAACAAGTCATAATGGCCACATAAATAACTAAAGTCATTACCACAGAGACATCTACTAAAATATGTCTAATCTGCTATAACTTGTTTCATTTATTCGCAACTCAATTTTGTAACAGAAGTCGATTTGCAATTGCTTTTTTTTTTTTTTATGAGATAAAAAAAATGTATGTATACATGTCATATGATAATAAATTTAAGTCTAATACCAGATAAATGCCTTGCCACCTTTCAACTTCAAATCAATTTCCTTCTTATGGTTTCAGGTGAGGCTTGTTCTAAATACTAAGGAAATTTTACACAAAAGCAGACATGTTTGTGACTTCAATATACATTCAGTAAAGAATTCATAAAACTGCCAAACAAAAATTAAAAGAGAGAACTGACTACATATGAAGTACACAAGAAATCTCTTACATTTCTTTGACATCGTCGCTGTCATCTGAGTGCTCCCCTTCTTCTCTTGGACTTTTGGGTTTCTCTGGGGGTGGGTGAACTTGTGAGAAGTCTAGCGTTGGTGGTGGTACTGCAATAGGAGTGGGTGGTATTCCTCCCATGAAGGGCCCAGGAGGGAGATATCCTGGTGGAGGCTGAGAGGTGTCCACTGCCAAGAATGGAAGTGATCGCCCATCATAGTCACCTGAAGGTAGATTTGTAATATCTTAGATATGGTTCATGTTGGATTAATGTAACTATTAATCTTCTTTACTTATTCATCATCCCTATAGTCATTAGTATTTTACTGTATGTCCTGATGAAGACCTCTCCTTTAACTGCAATACTAAAATGAAGTTTACTAATATTAAACCAAAAATACATATTAAAAACTTCATATTATTCACAATGTAATTTAACACACTCTTACCTGTTGTTGTAAGCCCTGGAATGACTTGTCCTTTCACCTCATCTGGAACTGGTGGGACCATCCCAGCAGCAGCAGCGGCAGCAGCAGCAGCTGCCATACCTGACCCATCATCTTGGGCAGGCTGCTTCATGAGAATCTGTTGGATCTGCTGGATAAGGCCTGGGTCCAGATTGGTGACAGCAGCATTCATGACCTGACTTGATACACTTGTAACAGGGACAGGATGCTGAAAATGGAAGAAATAAGTTAACTTTGACTATAATGTGTTATACACTAATTTTCATGCGTACTCAAATGTGTACAAAAAAAAGTAAAAAGAGAAAGAGACATGAAAGAAGTGCAAAACAGAAAATGAAAATGTGAACTGATCCACAGGAGAAAGGAGAAAAGATTATGTTTATATCTAGCACAAAGTGAGAGGAAAGTGAAGAGAAGGAAGAGATGTGTACTTTTTATCTATGTGGTCTTCTAATATTCATTTACTTGTATTTATTAGCTACTGTAAAAAAAAAAAAAAAACAAGTAAAATGCTGAGCCAAATTCTTTCAAGCACAAATTAACAGAAAATAGTGCTAATTCTTGACACATTTTGTTATACACTTTACTACAACATCAATTAAACTAATAAAGATGGCATTTTATTTTCTCGTTTTCTCTTTTTCTTTTTTTTACAATTATAAGAAAACCATCTATTGAATGAACAACCAACTCATGCATATATCTAAATACAAAAATTTCCATAAATTATAAAAGAATGTGGGCTAAATAAGTTTGTGGATCTATATATATACACATGCCCAATTCTAACCTTTGGATATTTTTCTTAACTTGCGATACAATAGGTGAATAATATGAAATGATATAAAATGAAACTTGTGTAAATACAATAAGTGAATTACAAAAATCTATATTTGCAACTTGCACAGACACAAGTGATTATAAATAAATATTTGCAACTTGCACAGACATCAACATATCTGAGAAATGGTTATACCAAACAAAGTGAATTCAAGAAAGCAATAAATAAATCTTTTTCCTCTGGATTTAAGATTTAGAGCAAATAACATGCAGAGCAACATGGCTTTTAAGTCCTTGTTGTCAATCTTTCCTTTGTGATGAAAATGAGTAACAAGAATGAGATAACCTAAGTATATAACAATTACTTCAGTTGTTTGTATTGAAAATATATACTAATTTTGTATTTACAACTTTAAATAAACTTTGTATTATCTAATTAATTCATTTCTGAGCATACATGCAATAAATTAACCCATTTGCCCCGGATTTATGTTCTGTCCCCTGTAGTTTTTGGTGAATTTTGTTACATACAGATGGCTCCACGTGCTCAGCCAGCAATGAGTCTATCAGTAGGCCCTAATTACCGATCCTAATTTTCCCATTCCTTGAATTGGTAAGAAAATGTCTTTTCTTATTAATACCATTACTATCGATGTTATGATGTTATGATTATTTGATCGTCATTAAAATATTTTAGACAATGAAATGATACAAAAGACTCTTTCCTAAAGTGAAGGAAAAGGGTAAACAGGTGAGATAAGTAGTTCTAATAAACTGGATATTTGGTGATTAAGAACTTGTAGAGCCATCTATATGTAAATACAATTAATAAACGTGTATTACAGTGGGCATGGCATGTATTCTTGCGACATGGGCGAATGGGTTAACTTTTCAGAAAAAGCCTTGTGAACATGCATTTTTTTACATAGTAAATGATCACATTCCTCTAGCATAGCAAGTAACTAATGGAAAAACAATTCATTTCAAGTAAGCCTGACTCAATCAAGTAACTCAGCATAATGACATCCCATTTATCCAGAATTGCGTATATATTGTATCCTCTTGGGTAACATGGAAGATACATTAGGACTGATGAACCTCATTCCTTCATATTTACTTAGAGAAAACTAAACATCACCAAGAATAAGAATAACTATGCACTGAAGCTGAAGCCGCAGCTCGCCAGCACTGCACCTGGTCATCGTCTCAGCAGGGTGCACTAAAGCTTTGCAGGACAATGAGTAGCAGAGAGCATTAGCCAGGAGGATCAGGAAAACCTCTCACTGGGCCATTTTAAGGTCAAAACCTGACATCCACCTCATATTAATTTCAGGGGAAGAACAAACAACTAGCTACCTGTTGATTTACTAAAGGTACGAGTGTGCACTCAGAGTCCACCTGTTGTGACATGTTCGCCGAGTTGCTATTAATCTGCCCATCTCTCCCTTCTGCACGGCCACCTCCACCTGCACCAGAGACTGGAGTACCCTGTTGTTCTTGGTTGTTGTGCTGTGACTTGGCCTTCAGTGCTTTCTGTGCAATCTGATTACCAACTTCCTTCTGGATTGGATGATTGGGGTCTGCTAAGTCAAAAAGTGGTTGTATGACCTCTTCTGCAAAGACCTGATTCTTCTGCCACAAGTTCAACACTCGGATGACTTTGCTCTGTAAGGAAACAATAGGTTTCAGTAAAACGTGAACTGATGAGATAATAAAAGACTGCATAATTAATCAGTACTTTAGAATAAATGACAACCATGAAGAACAAATATTTCAAACATCCAATATCTACCCAACAAGGATTTATATATAATCGCAATATGTCATAAATCATACTTACAATTAAACAAAAAACAAACCTTATCTTCCTGCGGGCACTTGAAGAGATAGAAAAAGGTGATCAGAATGTTCTTAGCAAATCTGGGAGCAAATACATCCTTCTCAACTCCAAACTGGTGTCTGCTTTGCCGAACTATGCTGTCTATCACATACAAACCTGGGATCTTGTACTCTGTTTTGCACTGTAAAAAAAAAAGGCAAGATAATAAAATATGGATTTGCATTCCACTCAAATTATAAATACAAAACCACCAATATAAGTATACTGAGCATAAAATTTAAATATGCATACCTTTTGTATAAATTTCTCAACACTCTGAACTACATGTTTGTAGAACTTGATGGCTCTGATAGCCCCTTTTGTGATGGCTGTCATCTTTGCCTTTGAGATTGGGGGCTTGCATTCATAGAGCCCCGCAAGCTGTAAAGAAAATTCAAGAAAATTAAATTGCTTACTCATCACAAATTAAAACACTGAAACATTGCAAGTATATGTGTGTGTATAATATATAGATATATATTTACAGCTTCAGCAATACCTAGGATCACCATAAAATCGTAAAAGTATATTTTGCAACATTCTATATACTAATTAAGAAAAAATACTATCTTTCCACATAAGTGAAATAAACATGACATGCTTACTTTATGACATATAAGCAAGTTGTTAATTGCCATTTTTACTATTTCATCTGACATTACTCCAACTTTGTAAATTTATAATATATCAGAAATAAAAATCTGACAAAAAGGGTTTCCAAAGATTAGGTAATTACTAATCATCAGTAGTAATAATTATAGTGAATTTCATGAATAATAATAAAGAAAAATCAAGACAAACTTTAAAAGACTATCATCAATAAAGAATGACCATGCTGGTAATATTACAATAAGTATTATCATTATAAGATACAAATTCAACCTGCACAACTATTTTGAAATGAATCAATAAATGAAAATGTCTCTATGTCCACTAGATATATAATTCACAAATACATTAATAAAACAAAAATAACAGTATCAAAGACAAAAATCCTAATCTGAAACATATAACATACATGAGAATTTATATAATTCAATAATCATCAATATCAATATACACTACAGTATTACCTCTTGAAGGGAAGCTATTATCAGATAAAATAACTACATTTTGAAAAAGAACACAAAACCATGAAAAAATTTGGATAACCTTGCAAAGGTTTGAAATCCTCGATAAGTAAAAATAAATAAATAAATAATCAACCTTTATAAACTGCCAACTCATCTAGCAAATCATCCCTTTTGGAACTAGTCACATCTATACATTATTTATATCACTGCCTCTAATATGACATCAATATATGACCCATATGAACATTCAAACTGGTGTAAAATTCTGTACATAAACATAACAAATACTAAAAATAGGTCTCTATGACTTTATACATGATCTAAATTACTATCCGAATTGTATTTCATATCTATAATATCTAATGCACTGT